AAAAAAAAAAAAAAGAATACACAGGCCAAAAAAAGCAAGAACCACAACGGTAATTTGGAATTGAAAGTTTTAGCAAAAAATATTGAACTAATTTTAAGAACTATATAGAGCTCCTGGAGGCTGCCCATGAGCAAGAGGTATGATTTAAAGACTCTGTGTGTGTGTGTGTGTGTGTGTGTGTGTGTGTGTGTGTGTGTGTGTGTGTACACATATATGGCATAGCTCTGTTTGAGGGCAGAGCAGCAGTCATGGGTTAGCTGAGTGCTAGGGAAAGACTGAGTAGGACAGAAAAGAGGGTAGTTCATGCCTAAAACTATCCTCTATACACGTGTCCAAAGTTAAAAAGAAGTTATAGACTCTGTGTTCCCCACCTCTGGGTACCTTCTCTTCCCTTCCCAGGCAGAATTCCCCTGGGGGGGAAGGGAAGACGCACAGGCAAGAAATGAGTCCTGACATGAGGTGGTGTAGGACTGAGGCCCAAGCTTTTATCTGTCCACCCTTAAGGGCTTCTTCGACACATTGCATCTGGCATAGAGCAGATGTTTATCAAATACAAGATGACTCCTTCCTTAAACTAAAAAATCTCTGAGTCTCAACCCAAATTCAGCACAATCAATTAAACAGGCAGTTTTTTCAGAAAAGAATCTGGCAGCACTCCACTCCTTCCCTCCCTCTGCACCATGTCAGATGGCCTCACCTGTCACTAGTCCTTGTTCTACCTCACACCTGAAGGTCCACGGGTCCGAGCCTGCCCACACTCACCCTCCAAACCTGCCTGCGACAATGCTAGACTTCTCCATCTGCTATGTCATTCCATTCTTCCTACTCTGACTTTCCCCTTCTAAATTTCACCACCTATTTATGTCATCCTGTTATATTTCATGGATTCTTTGATAAAATATCTTACCTTTCTGAAAAAAAGCAGGGTACAAATTAATAATATCTAAAACATGGACCTCCACCTCAGGTGCTGCTTCCTACTTAGGAAACTTCCCACTTACTTCTATAAACAAATGCATAGACTGAAGAAACAGCAAGTTGTTTACCACATTCCTGGTTAAATGCACTCCTCAAAATACAAAACTTCAATTTACTTGATTATTTCCTTGTGCATTCCCTGCAGCTCGAGACTTTAAAGTCTGGATTTTCTCAAAGACCAAGTTGACTTTCCTTTTAGTGGCATCATCATTATCAGTACTTCTGAAAAAGACACAGCGGAGCAAACAATGAGGGCACAGCCATTGGTCTCAGAACATTTTATGTGTCACAACACACATATGACAAGCCCTTTAAAAAGATAAATTGCAAGAAGCACAAATCAAGGCTGCAAACAAAACCAGTGTGAGAAGAGCAGGATGTATGGTGTGTTTTTCTTCAAGTAAATTGTTACATGTTACCACTCAATCTGGGACAGGGGGTTCCATTTTCATACATGAGACCGAGACATAACCATATTCTAAATAAGCTTTGAGAAAACATCCAGTGAAAACCGAGTAATTTGTTGTTTGAATCAAATGACTCATATTCACTCTAAAAGGAATTCTTTTCTTTGTGCTGTGTGTGTGTGTGTCTCACACACACACACACGCTTGACTTTTAAACCTTACACCAAGAACAATCTACAATGACTGTAAGTCATTTAGCCTACATTTAAAAAAATAAAGCACACAAGCCAAGATTGTCAACCCAGCAGTCC